TTACTTAGAGCGTATATAGTAATGGAAAACGCTATTGTGCCCATCGAGTGCACCAGGACCAAGCTCAAACCCAAAAAGTAGGTTACCCCCGCTTCCTACCTTGGGCAAACTTCGAGCCACATTACTATATTGTAACGTCAGCGCCATGAGCGAAGAGACGCCAAGTGTTACCCTAGCAGGAAGACTCCGACGATCCAGCCAAAATGAGATCCAACTAATCAAAACCTAAAAAGGTAAGGAAAATATGAGAAGTTGGAGTATAACCTTAACCTATACTTACCATACAATAGGTAGGAAGATATATCTGAAGTATATAGAACCCGTATGAACGTCGAAAGAACAGCTTTATATTAAGCTGGAAACAGACATAGCAAAGATCGAAATTTCTGCCCAATCTCAGATTTTCAAACTTACTTGATCCCATACCCCTGCCGGATATTGAAATGTAGCTTTTTCGTGAATAAATGTTGTCATGTGAAAATCCGGTAGTTTTACCTCGTCTATAAATTCCACTGGTTGCCCTTGACGCTTCCAGTGTAACCGCACCTAGAAGATGATTGAATGATTGGAAGAAAGAAGAGATGACAAATAATTACATGGATAGGAAGAACGAATGATGAAGAATGAATGAGGGGAATGGACGAATAAATGAATGAATATGCATGAATGAATGAATTAACAAATACGGCAAATGAACAAATAAAGGATTGAGTGTAATTATGAATGACCGAAGGGGGTTGAATGAAGGAAATAAGGAATGGATGGATGAATGCATTGGTTGAAGTGGGAATAAGGGAAAGATGAATGAATGCGATGAGTGAAGAATGAGTGGAAAATGATTGGGTGGATGAATGATGAAGGAAGGAAAGAAGGAAGGAGTAAGGGAAGAAAGTAAGAAATGAATAAGTGAAGGTATTGAATGAATGGAGTAGGTGATCGAGAGAACGAATGGGTGAGCAAATGAACGAATAACTAAATGATTGATTGAAATGGATGAATGAATGAATGAATGAATGAATGAA